ATAGATAGATCGATATTTTAACATTGTCAGTCTCTCTTTCATAGAGGAAATATGTGATCATTACAGTCTTGTATACTCTTAATAGCCGTCAAAACCTGAATGCATCAATCACTTTTAATATGATAACCACTAAATTTATGCTGTCGTTTTATGAAACAAATAAAATAGACTCGTCGTTTAAACATAATCAGTGACTTCCTGGGCGATTGACAACATTTGTTGTCTCATGTCAAACTAAATTTGTGTTTCTCATAATAGCAACCTTAGCTTGTCCTGTCTTGCAAGTTCCTCCAAAAATAGTACCATTACGTCCGTTTGTTTATATTCTTATTTATCAAGTCAGTATTTATTGCTTCTTGGTTGGATTTTCCTTTTCCGCATTTGTCCATTTTGTTGATGGGAGACACAGAAAGGAAACTGCTACAGAAGGTAGTAAGGGAACTCTAGGAGGAAGGACTAACTGTCAATTGTAAGAAGACAATATGTATTGTTTTCCAACAGCTATTTGGATAATGTTTTAACAGATGACGAAAAATGTGACAAATGTGCAGTGGCGTAGCTGGGGGGGGCGAGGGGCGGATCGCCCCGGGTGCCAGCACAGGAGGGGTGACACAATGTCACCCCCAACAAAACTTTTCAACCAGGCGAAGGTGCCAAAAATAGTCTGAAAACAGTGGTGGAGACACAGGGTTTCGTAGGCTGGCATATGACCCCCAAATAATTTGTGACCCCCCCACAGTTTTGTTCCCCCACCCCGTCAGAAATTTTCTAATAAATTGTCAGGAAATTTGTGAGTAGGAAAAATAGCAATGTTTTCAACTTTCATGTGTTTCAGTTGCTACAATCTTCGTTACTAACAAGAGACATTGTTGTAACATTTTATCGGATGATATGGTGTAGCAACTGAAACACATGAAAGTTGAAAACATTGCTATTTTTCCTACTCTGCATCATTAATAACAACAAAGCGAAATACGAAGCCAAAAGTGCAACAATTTCAGTCTTGCCTGTGTATCAATTCGCTGAGATACAATTTTCCATTGAGTGAGCGATATACTTTTGAATATATCTACTAGTGTTGGGACAATTAATCGGAATCGGAAATGAGAATCGGAAAAATCGGAACTTTTGGGGTATTGGAAACGGTATCGGAATCGAAAAAATTTGTGCCTATTTTCCGATTCCAAAAACGATTCTTTTAAATTTTTAACTTAATTTTTCATTATTGGTACTAATGATAAATATTAATTGTTTTTAAATTATCACTAAAACTAAAATCATAATAACATCAAAATACGATGTAAATTTATTTTACTTGTATAAAGAAAAACAAAAAAATAAACTTTGCATAAATTCTCTAGGTAACCTTTAAAAGAATGCAGCTAATTTACAATGTTCCGAAAAATGCTTAAAAATTAAATAGAACATTTTTGTCAAGAAAAATACTTTCAAACATCATTGATGATTAAATGGTACCCAGAAAATGATGCAACGGAAAATTGGACACCAGAAAATTAACAACAGAAAATTACGTCAACCATGAGCCAGTCGAGACTGTTGGATCTGGCTGTGCTGTCCATTTAAAACGAGCTTACAAGACAAACAGATTTTGACGATGTCACTGACCAGTTTGCCACAATGAAAACAAGAAAACATTCATTCTAAGACCATAGTCATGTCATTCTTTTGTGTATTGCCGTGTTTTGTATTTAGTTGTTCTGAAAGTGAACAGTTGCATTTTAAAAATCTTTTGATTTGAACTGATTATTTTGTGGTATTGGATTTTGTCTTGGATCATACATGTAAACAGTAACGTACCGGTCAGTAAAGTAAAGTAGAGGTAGAGCATGTATGAAAATTTAGCTACAGCTAACCATTCAGCATAGGGTGAATCGGGGTCATTAGGGTGACATTTGAGCGGACCGCCCCGGGTGACGTTTACTCTAGCTACGCCACTGCAAATGTGGAATCGTGAAACTTCCCAAAATTAGACACAGATTTAAAAAAAAAAAAAACAGTAAGATACTGTAAGAAACAAATGAAGGCTTATTATTCATGGGAAATTACGATAGTTGAAGGAAATGGCATAACATTCCATTTGAAGACCTTATGTTTCGTTGCTGACCAGATACAAATTGTTAGAGTTTCGCTTGGCACTTTTAACTCAGCTACCACCGCTTTCTCAGATCACTGATTAAAATGGGTTCAAACAAAATGTCTGACACTACAGAATCACAAGGAACCTTACCAAATAACAGAACCCACATCACTGGAAGACTTTTAACGGTAGAAACAACTGGAATGAATTGTTCATTTAACTCGTAAAGAAGATAATGATAAATTCAAGATGCTTACTTTCCACACACTCTTAAACAAAAGGTTAGGAAGGAAACCCTGATCAGTACTAGAAAGAGCGATAACAATTAGTGAACATAGAGAAACCAATTTCCCTGAAAAACTATTTTAAGAGAATGATTCTAAACAATATTTATGTTCGGTCAATGGTTGGATGATTTTGTTTAGCGGCATATCAATCTCTATGGATTATTTAATGCTGAAATGTAAATGTCTTGAACAGAGTTATATGGCTTCATGTAAATATATTTTGAACACAGTTGTATGCTTTCACTACAGAAAATTGCATTGCTGGTAATTTTGCTATAAGATGTATTGTTATTAATTCAACTATAAAATGTATTACTGATCATTTTGCTATATGTATTACTGGTCATTTTGCTATAAAATATATTGTTGGTAATTCTACGATAAAATGTATTGCTGATCATTGTAATATATGTATTACTGGTCATTTTACTATAAAATATATTGTTGGTAATTCTACGATAAAATGTATTGCTGATCATTGTAATATAATATGTATTATAGACTGTATTTATTTTTATAATTTCATAGTGTTTTGTTTTGGAGTGGGGTCAGTATTTGCCTATAACTGGGACCTTAACAAATGCTAGCACCCAGGATCAGGGTGGACCTGGTAACAACAGCAATTAAAAGGTGGTTCCATGCTCCTCAGAACCTCCAATTTCTTGATCGGAAGCCTTGCTGCCGAATGTAGTTTATCGTCATGCCCAGGACGAATGTTCGGTCAATGAATGACGAATGTTTCTTTATGAGTCTAGTCTCACTATTACCTCTACCATATTTAATCATATTTTGCAAATTTGGATCAACATCTATCCTGGTGTTTATATAATTAAGGGAATGTTGCATATCATCCTCAATATGAGTCACTAGATTGATTTCAACTGCATATAAGTCACGCATAAAGGTTACAGATACCATCTTATAAAGGTTACAGATACTATCTGTTGTGGATTCCAGGTTGAAATCCGGTGCCAATAAATAACAAACGCCAAGAATGAATATATGAAAATAATGTATTAACGTAATAATACAAACTTGTTAGTAGTTCCATGAATACGGGTTAGTAGCAAAATATATATACAGTCTTTGGTATTGAAGTATCGCTGTATGACTTCTTAGTGAGTCTACGTGCTCGCTCACTGTGACTCCTACAACGCGGTTACCTCACCCTCACTCTTCCGGTTACCTACAACCTTTTACTCTGTCACTCAGGACTCGACTCGACTCGACGGTCTTGCTCTCCGGGTATTCACTGGCAGTAGTATACACTGGGTGAGTCCATTTGTATAAAAAAGGGTGGACTCCTCAACACTATCGTATAAAGGATAACAGATACCATCGTATAAAGGTTACAGATACCATCGTATAAAGGATAACAGATACCATGGTATAAAGGTTACAGATACAATCGTATAAAGGTTACAGATACCATCGTATAAAGGATAACAGGTACCACCGTATAAAGGTCACAGATACCATCGGATAAAGGATAACAGATACCATTGTACAGGGTGTCCATAGAGTTCGTGTGTACTTTAAAAAATTTATAACTTTATTTGTATTTGCGATAGAAATAATTTGTAAAAAGGATTAGTAAGAAGTAAATCTGTATTTTTTAAGGTTTTATTGAAATTTTATTTAAGTTTCCACATGTCCTCCATCATTAGCAATACAAAGGGTAATACGATTTTGCAGTTCACGGAAAACATTTGCCAACTGATTTACAGTAATGCCTGAAATTACATTAGTTATTTTAGCTATACTTAAAACTAGGTACAATAAACTTTATAACATTGTGGAAAAGGCACACGAACTTTATGGACACCCTGTTTCAAGGTTACAGATACCATCGTATAAAGGTTAACATATTTCATCGTATAAAGGTTACAGATACCATCGTATTATCCTCATAACTTTTATATAATTAAACTGACACCGTCATCCTTTGTGTATAGATCGCTAAAGTTAAAAAAGAAGAGAAATTCCAAGGAAAATATGCTTATTTTCATGTTTATACATGAAAACGTGATAATGTCTATTGGGGTATAAGGCGACTAAATCGTCAATACATATTGAGAAAATAAATCGAAATAAAATTGAATTTAACTTGTATCTTTGTTTTTTTTATTTTGAAATTATGTATCATTTGGGGTTTTTTGTTTGTTTTTTTTTAGTTGTAAATTAAATATTATTTATTATCTTTAAATGATTTCTAAACTCACGCAGATGTCTAAACTCAACGTAATCTGGAAAAAGTATGGGACCCTATGAGAAATATTATCAAAGGTTTATTTCACTTCGTTGCAATACGCCATTAGACAGATATTATCTCTTCGGTAAACAAATAAATATAATTTGCTCCGATTTTGTTCGTTTTGAGACTTGGAAAAAATGGAATTGACGTCTAGATTATAAGACGCAACAGATTTTTGGACATGAAAAAGAAAACCTGTGTCTTATACACACATGACTGCGGTAATTTTACTTAGCCAGCCTGTAGATTTTTTTTTTCAGAAAGGTTTCCTTTTTTGTGTTGCCATTCTCCTTATTTACATCCTCGTTGTTCTTAGCTTTTTTCCTTACGCACAGATTGACTACTCTTTATTCTGTCGCATATGTACATTTTTTCATTCTTTTTTCATTCATTTTTTATTCTTTTTTCATTCTTTTTCATTTTTTTCATTTTTTCATTCATTTTTTTATTCATTTTTATTCTTTTTTCATTCATTTTTTCTTCATCTTTTTCATTTTTTAATCTTTTTCATTTTTTCATTTTTCTTTTCATTTTTTTCATTTTTTCAATCATTTTTTTATTCATTTTTATTCTTTTTTCATTCATTTTTTCTTCATCTTTTTCATTTTTTAATCTTTTTCATTTTTTCTTTTCTTTTCATTCTTTTCATTTTTTCATTATTTTTCATTCATTTTTTATTCTTTTTCATTTTTTCATTCCTTTTTCATTCTTTTTTCATTTTTTCAATTTTTTTCCATTCTTTTTCATTTTTTCATTCTTTTTCATTCATTTTTATTCTTTTTCATTTGTTAATTCTTTATTCATTCTTTTTTCATATTTCCAATCTTTTTCATTCAGTCTTTTCAGTTCTTTATTCTTTTTTCATTCTTTTTCATTCTTTTTCATTCATTTTCTCATTCCTTTTTTCATTCTTTTCTTCACATTTTCTATATATCTTCCTTTTTAAATCTTTAGCGTTTTAGTTATATTTTTTTCTTTAATTTTCTTTTTTGCTCTCCTTTTTCTATTTTCTGGATTTCTTTGATGTTTAGGTATTAAGAAAACATACCTACACGATATTCTCCATATGCAGCTTGACCGACCAAGCGTTAACGAACAAACGAACGAAAGAAAGAAAGAAAGAAAAGAAAGAAAGAAAGAATATATATATATATATAAAAAGTACCCAAATCCTCCATTCATTTCTTGAAAAATAACCGACGGTTGTTTGTCGTCGGGGCGTTTCGTTAGCTTCTTTAGACGAATGTAAAACACAACGTCATTCACAGCCACTTTTCCAGGTAAGACAACTTCGAGACTGAACGTAGTACAATTTACCTGAGAACGCCAACATCGGCGGAACGACTGATATCAGGTAAAGGCCAATGCTTCTTGGGTTACGGAGGTTTAAGATCACTCATCGGATATTTTATACGGATTGTTTTCCTATACGTCCGGCTTTGAGCTACCTTTAAGCGGCATTTCGCTGCAAAATCAACTGCGTCATGCTAGCCACCTCAGTTACCACCAGAGATGTTAGACGCGTCTTCCGCTTATAATGATTACTAGTTAAAAAAAATGATGTTATTAGTTATATACTGATCGGTACTTCGGCCTGGAATCAAAGTATCTGTGCGATCTCAACAGTTTTAAAATGTCGCTTCCCAATATTTGTAATTAGGATCAGTATATACCTTGCCTTTGCTCCCTGGCACTTCTGAACAGAGTAATAGTTCTATACGATGTCTAAATGGTTTGGTTTGTTTTGTTTTACGGCATATCAACCTCAATAGTTTTTTTTAATGCCGACAACTTTTTTTTCCTGGTAATATTTTTTGTTTTGTCAAAAATCTATTTCTGTTAATATTTTTTCCCCAAAAATGTATAGCTGGTAATATTATTTTTTCAAAAAAGTATACCTGGTAATATTCTTTTTTCGAAAACGTATAGCTGGTAATATTTTTTTTTTCAAAAACGTATAAGTGGTAATATTATTGTTTTTTTCAAAATAGCCGGCAACACTATTCTTTAAAAAAAAAAACAACAACAAAAAACGTATAGCTGGTAATATTATTTTTCGAAAAACGTACAGCTGGCAACATTATCAGAGGCCTTGCTGTTGGACGTAGTTTATCGTCTTACCCAGGATGCGAATGTAGTTTATCGTCATACCCAGGACGGACGCGGATGTAGTCTGAGTGTTAACTATTCGTCCATAGCTGGGACCCTAACAGTTGCTACCACCCCGTGTCTGGGTAGCCCTGGGAACACCAGCAATTAAGAGATGGTTCCACGCTCCTCAAAACCTCCTGATCAGAGGCCTTGCTGTTGGACGTAGTTTATTGTCTTACCCAGGACGCGGATGTAGTTTATCGTCATACCCAGGACGGATGTTTAAATGTTACACACACATAAACAAACAAATATATATATATATATATATATATATATATATATATATATATAAAGAGAGAGAGAGAGAGAGAGAGTAAAATGATGATTGGATAAAAGGCACCTAATATTTAATATAGTGATATTTATAATATATGAATTTTTACAGAGAAGAATTAAAACTTTGTAACTTACAATTGGATTTTCAGTGTTTTATTCTTAGAAAAAATAATTTGTTGTTTTCCTTTTTTAAAAAAAAATCATATATTATAAAAATCTTGAAATAAATACGAAAGAGTAAATTTATTCACTAAAATCGCCATTGGCTTTAACCATGGCCTCCAGTCGACTTCCGAATCACCTGCAACTGTTCTGGTCGGTCTCCTAATTTAAGTTAATGAATTCCGCCATAATCCTTGCCTTCAGTTCATCTTTGGTGTTACAAGGACTTCTGTTGGTCTCTCGCTCCACACATAATAATCAAGGAGGTTGCATGTCTTTTCAGCAGACGATCTGACTTGCAAACATTTCCATAAAAGTTACGTGAATTCTCAGTACTTAATACCATTTTGCAGTTGTTCGGTGCTCTGGTCCGATGTAATCATCGTCGGCACCCGCTTGCATCCAAGCATCGGTATCGTCATCCTCTCTCTCCTTATTCCCTTTCTCGCCTCTGGTAGCAGAGGTTGTTGTGAAGGCCTAGCCTACTCCTGAAGAGTTGCGAGCAGGAGTCACAGAGGAGTGTGGGTGATGGGCGCGGTTGGGCAAGTCGGGTCCTCCTGACAGCACCTCGCAGATCCTCTGCATGTTGACTGTTGGACTCGAAAGTCTCGCTTCCTCCTCGGATGGTGCTACGCCAGGAAGGCCGATTTGCAGCAACGGTTTCCCATATAATTTCTTTTTATTATTTAAGGAAACAAGAAAGGAGTGTTTGCGCTGCGGTAGGAATGTTTCTGAAATGTCAATGTTTCTCTTCCCACCGGGATAACAAAGTTGCGATTCCTAATCCACGTATCCAAGCGTCGCGATCGTCATCCTCTATTTCCTTTCTCCCCTCGAAGACAAGGTTCACAGAAGAGTGTAGGTGGTGGACGCGGTTGAGCGAATCGGGCTCTCCCGACAGCACTTCGCAGATCCTCTGCATGTTGACGTTTGGACTCGAAAGGCCGATTTGCAGCAACGGTTTCCTAGGTCTCAGGATCGATGTTGGCTTCGCTGTTGGCTTCTGTCAAGGATGTTTTTTTTAACTGATCCTTAAAGCATCGTTTTGGGCCTCCGCTTAGGTAACTGTTATACTACCTATTCTATGGTAATGGACTCTCCCATAGACAATAAGTAGTAGTAGCGGTCGCCAGTTCGGCTAAGTGGTGTTGAGCGCGTCAGACGATATCGGACATTGAAGTACCAACCATCACAACTAGATTGCTGCGTCAACTCTTATTTTCAAGTTCCTAACGTTTTGTACGTCGAACCTAATTTAGGACGACTTCTTGAAATACAAGCCTCCACTGTGAAAACTACTGCACAACAGTAACCCTGTGACAGACATCACAAGTGAGGACATACGTATCACCTATTCGGTCTGGATGTCCTATTCGGCCTGGAAGTCTTGTTCGGTCTGGAAGTCCTATTCGGCCTGGAAGTCCTATTCGGTCTGGAAGTCCTATTCGGCCTGGAAGTCCTATTCGGTCTGGAAGTCCTAGATAATGAACTTTACGGGCATTTCTTTTCAGCTTTATTTTTACAATCCGAGAACACTCAAACGCAAACTTTCCATCCTGAACCTTCTTTCGCTAGGTTCTATGATCACTATGATAGAACACCCAGTCATATCGGTGTTTGCAAGTGATTTTTTCAGGCCAGCTTTATAACGCTTCTTTGGCTTTTGGGCTGCTCGCTTTCCGTCAGCAAACTCTCCGTACAAAACTTGTTTTAGAATCCTGTTGTCACTCATGCGAGAAATATGACCACACCAACTCAACTTATATTCCCGAATTATTGCTTCAGCGCCGTTCAGCGGACTTCGCTCAAGCATGTCTATATCAAGGACATAAATTATCCAACGTAAGCATTGTTGATGAAAGCGCTCAGGCAGATTCAGGTGGTCACCATAACACAAGCCACGTTTCACATGCATACAATAAAGAGGTTAAGACACAAGCATAGTAAACTTTGACCTTAGTCAGTTTTGAAATTCCACGCTGTTTCCGTAGTCGCTTTTCCAACTTAGTGAATGAATACTGTCCTCGCAACTTCATTTCCCTGTTCAGTGAACAAGTTCTCGACAGAGTAATACCAACACAAACATAGTCATCACGCACGCCAAACGCGGCTTATTGTATACAAATATATTTGGCTCTATGTAAAGATTTACCGGTGAAGGTGACATATATAAGCGAGAGCAAGATCTAAAAGGTCAGCCAATCAAACAGTGATCTCATCTCACAATCCTCACACTTGCTCCATATGTGGCCTCCTTTGTAAATCACTAGCGGGTCTTAAATGTCACTTAAGATTATCGCACAAAATTTCATAACTGAATCAATAAGCTGTCAGATCCTCATACGTCGAAACCGTGGGAGAGTCCATATATATATATATATATATATATATATATATATATATATATATATATATATATAAGCACAGAAATAGAGATAGAGGGGCAGACAGGTAGATAGACAGAGACGAGCAGAATTCTCGCAACTTCACTTCACTGTTTAGTGAACAAGTTCTCCTTAGAGTGCTACCAACATAAACGTAGTTATCACGCACGCCTATACGCGGCTTATTGTATACACAGATATTTGGCTCTATGTAAAGCTTTATCGGTGAAGGTGACATATACACGCAGAGAAAAAGAGAGAGAGAGAGAGAAGCAGACAGATAGATAGACAGGCAGAATTCTCCTCGGAACTTACACGTAAGCGTATTTGGAGAATGTCGACCAAGACGATGGTATCTGTTAACCTTATACATTATACTTGTATGCAGATGATTGTGATGTAGATCACTGTGGATGATATGAATCGCCTGATAGACTCTTGAATCAGTGCTTCCACTGTTCTTGGATTTATAATTATTGGCGTATCAGCCTGCACCGTGAAAAGCTTACATAGAGCCAAATGTCTTTCTATACAATAACCATATTAGGGGTGCGTGATGACTGTTTATATTGGTAGCACTCTAACGGGAACATGTTCACTGAACAATTAAGTTGCGATGTGAATTCAAAAATAGAGTATTCATTCGCTAAGTTAGAAAGAGGACTATTTTATTACTTAAATGCTATATATTAGTGTATACTCATATCTATCTATCTATCTATCTATCTATCTATCTATCTATCTATCTCAATCTGTTCATATCTATTTCCGTCTGTTCATTATCTATCTATCTATCTATCTAATCCTATCCATATCTATCTATCTATAAATCTACGTTCGTTTTTTTTCTGTGTTAAGTTGTAATATCGAGCCATCAGTCTGTACATCATCAAATTTTGTGTTTAGCGATCGCTGTTTATGTCTACCTGTCTGTCTTCCCGTCTGTCTGTTCTCTCTCTGTATGTTAGGTAAAAATGGCAGCGGTAAAAATGGCAGCGGTAAAAATGGCAACGGTAAAAATGGCAGCGGTAAAAATGGCAACGGAAAAAATTGCAGAGTAAAAATGGCAACGGTAAAAATGCCAATAATAATAATATAATAAAATGGCAAAAGGAAAAACCTATAGATGAATATCTCACAATGAGTTTATTAAAATCTTGGATACAATACATAATAGAAAAAATATGGAGTAGTTTGTCAAATTAAAAAGAATATTCAGCTACTATATATATATATATATATATATATATATATATATATATATATATATATATATAAGTGAATGCAGTGGATTCGACTGGAATTCGAACTCGGCTCTGCGATTCCTCAATCCAAGCCGCTAACCACTGCTCCACCGTGCCTCCTCTAATACCCTTGGGAAAGGTATGTATCCTCTTCATCTCCCTCAGCTATGGGTAAAATAGCAGGACAGACTGGGTTCTACAGCCTTGGATGGCAACTGGTCTAGGAGAAGGACAACTCTGAATTCAAAACCTGCGGAGGGTCGTTTGGGAACCTTGTGGCATGCATTCGGTGCACCAGGTTTCTATTCGTCCCTCAAAAAGTGTGGCTGGTCCTGCACAAGGCCTTCACCACTATAAACAAATCTCATGTGCCGGTGTCAGGATGTCGGTTTCCTGGGGGGACTTGTCGGCTGACCTCATACGTCGAACGCGACAGGAGAGTCGATTATATATATATATATATATATATATATATATATATATATATAAAAGGCCTTGTGCCACATTCAATTCCTGTGGGTGAATTGATAAATACCATCTATAAAAGAATGTTAAACATAAAAATGTCTTTAAATAATTGTCGGACTTTGTCCATTTCATAATATATATATATATATATATATATATATATATATATATATATTTCATATATATATATATACATATATATATATATATATTTCATAATATATATATATATATATATATATATATATTAGGTTGGTGCAAAAATAATGACGTAATAAAGTCGTTTTTTGACGTAACGTCAAAAAAACATTATTTACGTCATTATTTTACCAATAATATATATATATATACTATCATCACAGTCCTAGCAGGCCATGTAAAGACCATTGTAAAAAGAGCAAATAAAAGCATAAATGTCTCCCTGATTCACTCCGTTCTTTACGTCAAATGGTTCAGACAGCTTACCACCTACCACCCACTCTTTCATATCATCATGAAAACCTCGAAATATGTTCATGAATTTTTATGGCCAAACAAGTTTTCTCGATATTTCCCCACAAAATAATTTGTGTTGATTGTATCAAATGCCTTTGTCAAATCAAAAAAAACTTGATACAAAACTATTCTGTTCCACCCACTGTTTCTGTAATTAGTTCGCTTTGCAGAAAAGATCATTTTCATGGTAGCCTAGCCTGATCGAAAGTCCCACTGCGATTCTTGAAGCAAGTCATTAACAATATGTTGGAGCAGTCGGCCCAACATTGTCCTACATAAAACTTTAGCAACGACAGACAGAAGAGAATTTCCTCTCTAGTTACTGCAAATATCTTTACAACCAGGAATACCTTAGATTCTTGAAGCAAGTCATTAGCAATATGTTGGATCAGTCGGCCCAACATTGTTGTTGTGGATTCCGGGATGAAATCCGGCCTCCAATGAATGACAAACGCAGGAATGAATTATAACAAATAAATGTATTTACACAATAATACAATTGGTAATACGGTTAGTAGATCCAGAAACGTGGTTAGTAGCAATAATAATATATTTTCACAGTCTCGTAAATCCAGTCTCGAAGTAGGATTTCCTTAGAGTCTACGTGCTTGTAACTGTGACTTCTACAAGCGGTTACCTCACACTGTTACTCTACCTCCAACTCAATCACAATCTCTGTCTCTCTGCTCTTACTGCCTCTGGGTATTTAACGGCAGCAGACCAAGTACACACTGGTAGAGTCCACTTGTATGAAAAAGGGGTAAACTCCATAACAATTGACCTACATAAAACTTTACCAACGAATTTCCTCTCGAGTTACTGCAAATATCTTTACAATCAGGGATACCTTTAATTCTTGAAGCAAGTTATTAACAATATGTTGGAGCAGTCGGCCCAACATTGTTCTACATAAAACTTTACCAACGACAGACAGAAGAGAATTTCCTCTCTAGTTACTCTAAATATCTTTACAACCAGGAATACCTTTGAAAAGTACTACTGTTGATGCATAATGTCATTCGTTAATAATACATTCTTTTACCCAAAAATATTGTAATAAAAGATGTATACGTTTAGTGACAGTTCCTCCACCATATTTTAGTTCCTCCACCATATTTTAGTTCCTCCACCATGCTTTAGTTCCTCCACCATGCTTTAGTAACTCATCCAGCCCAGTGGCTACTGTCTCGCCAAGCGACGAAGAAGCGGCCAGCTCTTCTGTTAGGGATGATATTGAGAAAATCCTCATTGACAATAGAAGAACAATTGAATAGTTTATGAAAACGTTGACGCCATCTTTTCAATATACCATTGGAGTTACAAATAAATGTATCTTTTGCTTGAAGTGGGTTCACTGGAGAGTACAGTCGACCATAAGCAACTAGCTAAAGATTGTGTAAGAGGTTTGAATTGTTGTTTTTCTGCTGCCTGTATTTGATCAGCTTCATCATTCCACAATTTTTGTCCTAGACAAAATCTCAGTTTAACACCCTTCTTCGCATCCTTGATCACATCAATCACTTTTTACCTTTCATCACGTGACAGGTTGTCTGGAAACACATGAGAAAGTGCTTACGGTCATATCATTTTCAAACAGCAGTTCTCTGTACGATCAGCGAGGTTAAGCAACGTCGAGCCTAGTCAGTACCTAGGTGGATGCCCACTTGGGAATACCAGGTGCTGTAAGCTTCGATGTGCGAGTAGTGTAATGGATAACGGCTCGGAATTGTTAATCGGAGAGCCGAGTTCTAATTCCGGTTGGGTTCGTTATATTCACTTACGCGCAAACACTCTTGAGAAATATATAAATCCACCTCTTTTTCCTTCAGCTATGGGTTAATTTTTAAGACTTGTATCACTAAAAACGTTATTATCTAAAAAAAAAAACATTAGATTGAAATTAGCAACAGATGTTGAAACGCCGCTATACAAAAACAACTAACCAACCTTAGGAAAGGTATGAATGATTTCGAGCTAAACTATTCTAATTCCACGTTTCATGCCTTTGGATATTTCAGTTTTTAGTTCATTCCCCTTGTTAACTCAAATCTTCAAGTTTTTTGTCCTCTCTGCTGTGACCAGGGATTAAACTTACAACACTTGGGTCAAGTCACTTTTGGATTAATCAACCAACACTTTTATCAACTTGATAACTCATCTCTCCAAGGACACGTGGTCCTTGTAGAGTTGAGTTATTAAAAGGAAATTAAATAAAACTAAATGAGACATCCAAAGGCATGGCACGTGGAATCAGAACAATCGTAGATTAAGTAAAGGCTTCGGTTCGAAATTCCAACAAATATCACCTGAAGAAGGCCGGGTCGTACAAAGACTGAAACATTATGAATTTGACTGTAAAGGTGAGGACAGCAATCTGAATAATGTAAATAGTGTAAATATTTACATCTCAGAAATATAGACAAATGTAGGAAATTTTATATTGAAATATACTGTCAAGGGAAATCATAGTATTGTAAACTTTCTTGTAAAATATTATTTATGAAGATTTGGCTTGTTAGTGTGTGATTGGACAATATATACACAAGCAGTTCAGAATGAGATATAATTTCTGAGGTGAAATCTTCTATATGCTGTTTCCCCTCAGTACGTGGGCAATCATGGCTCTCCACAGCTTCCTGTATTTTGTAGCTCTTAGCAGTGGTTGGCTTTCTGCTATCTCTCACAGTCCTTGTTCTGACAACCATTTACAAAAGCTCGTTAAGTTGGTTGTTCGCTGGCTTCCTCTGTCCCTCGTCATGTTCCGTGAGTGTTAAATTTTCCAAGCCTTTTTTCCTCATTATGTGTCCTGGAAATTTCAACTGCCTCTTTCTGATGTTAACTATAAATGTCCATTTGGTTTCCATTTTCTCTAAACGCACCTCACATACACTGAGTTGTGTTATTCTGGGGTGACAAATAAACTGTTGTGTTATATAGGAATAAAGTGTCACTGCCGATACTTGAGTTTGAACATAGATCGCCAGTGAGCAAACACAGGTGATACCATTATTGAATTAAGTAGACCACATGACCCTACTGGAAATGCATAAGTAGGAATTAGCTTGGCGTCTAATAGATCGCCATTTCTAGTCTATCCTCTATTACTATACGGATCGCTATTTCTAGTCTATCCTCTATTGTTATACGGACCGCTATTCTCTTCTCTATTCACTATACTATTTCTCTATTCGGATGACTATACGGTGGTTACTATTCGAGCGAATATTATCGAGCATGTACTATTAGTGCAAGATTCGTTGGCTTCACAATAGTGGCAACGTATGTTGCTTGACATCCCAAAATAAACCTTCCTACCCAACATTGTGAATAGAGCTTACTAGAAGGTTTATTAATTTTTGACTCTTCACAGTCACTCTACATAGCAAATAGCTAGAAAAATGTATTTACACTGTTCATACGATGCCTTTGGATATCCCAGTGGATAAAAGCACTGGTTGATTAATCCAAAAATGATTTCACCCAAAGAGTTGTGAGTTCAATCCCTAGCCTCAGCAGAGAGAACAAAAACTTGGACTGTTGTCAAGGCGAATTGACTAAAACAGATATCCCAAGGCATGGCACGTGGAATTAGAACAAACGCGGACTAAATAAAGGGTTCGATTTGAAATTCCAACAAATATTACTTGAAGACGGCCGGAGTGTATAACGACCGAAACGTCGTGAATGTGATAGTAAAGATGAGGACAAGAGTCTGAACAATGTAAATAGTGGGAATAATTACAATACCTCATCTCAGAAATATAGACAGATCCTGAAGAAGGCCGAAGTATACAATAGCCGAAAGATGAGGACAACAGTTCGAACAATGTGTAAATGCTTACACTACCGTCATCTTAGACAGATGTACAATTTTTTTTATTGCTATATACTGTGATGAGAATTCATGGCATTGTAAACTTGCTTGTAAAATATGATCTATGTGGATGTTGGCTTGTTAATGTGATTGAACAATATATGACGCATTCGTAGGAGCAAGGGCGTATTCAACAAAAAATTGAAAATTGCTTTTTTCACTGCAAATTTTTTATTATATCATATACAAAGTATTTTGCAAAAAATTAGAGTTGATTACACAATATTTCAAGCTCAGTTTAGGTTTATAGTTCGAGGTAACGTAAACCGTAGATTTGTCTGTGGAATATCATTACATTATGGTTATATAATTATAGTGAAATCATTAAGGTTGTTTGTCAAAAGCATTTTATTTTTGATCGTATATTAATTTAAAAGATTCCTTTCTACAGGCTTTATTTTCGAAATGGCAGAAGATCATTCTAAATTTCAGAATTTCGCTGTTGCCCATCAAAATGACTGAAAGAAAGCGATCTAAAAACAACAATGGAAAAGAGAAGTAACAAAGCGTAAACGAAATAGTTTCAGTTTGTTCAATTTAGGAAACTTAGCATTGTAGCCAAAGTATTCTTAAATACTGTCAATAACAAATGAGAAAATGAAAAATATCTAAACAAATAGAATACAGCATCAAAATTTATATTATTTTTATTTATTTGTTATGTAACTAAATGCATAATTGTCAACAATGTTTCCGTAAAATTTGATATTCCCTATAATAAATTCTTAATAAATATTATTATTGTTTTTATTTTACTTAAGTGTAAGGTAGTCCTACATTTAGAATTCTTTACGGCTAATCATGAAAAGAAATGTTGATTAAAACTGCCGAAAACTTTAAGCGCGTATTGTCACAAAATTATCAAATGTTGAATGTTGAATACGCCCCAACTCCTCCGAACGCATCATATATATATATATATATATATATATATATATATATATATATATATATATATATATATATATATATATATAGTTCCCTGATTAAATAATACAAAAGATCAATGAAAAAGGCGCCAAAATTAATAATGAAAATGCTTCCTGGAAAGAATTCAGACGGTTTAAAATAAATCAATTCGTGATTTTTTTTTATATATTCTCTTTAAGAAAAGAAATTGTTGATCAAAACTGCTAAGAACCTTTAAACAGGTATTACCGCAAAATTATCAAATGTTGGATACGCTCCTCCCCCGCCGATCGCGTCATATACACAAGCACGTTCAGAATGTGATATAAGAGTTGAGGTGAAATCTTCTATGTGCCGTACCCCTTCAGGATGCGGGCGATCATGGCTCTCCGCAACTTTCATTTGTTCCGATCATAAGAACATTTGATAAGTGGAGGAACATTCAGAAGCAAATGAAGAATTTGAGAATCGAATTTCAAATTCATTTTGTTGAGTCGAAACCTAGATTACTTTAAACGTGGAATTTACCTTCCTGTTGGATTACAGTCGTTGAAAATGAAGATGACTACATTTTCGATAAATAATAATTTAATAATTACCTTGTGTCTGCAGCTGTCTGTCTGCAGCATCCGAATATGACACATTTCACCATCAATCAGCCGGAAAATTGACCCTATCACGAACATAGACGTCTACTTCTCTCCAAAGTCGTTGCGTATTTTGGAATTCAAATAACCTAGTTTCTTTCTTTATTTGGTTGTCTGGGAAATAATGCCCGATTTTAGATTGGTTTGGTTTAGTTTGGTATCTTGTTATAGTAGTCCAAGGGAAAGAACCAGCCTGTCCTCAACATTCCACATTCGAATTCATATTTGGGTTTTCATTACCTGAGCTCAAACCCTAACATACGTCACTAGTGGGAAACCTCCAACTCTACTTAGCGGAGAGCGAAGCTCCAATTCCAATTTTATGCGTAAATATCCTTGGGAAATGTCTAAATCCACCTCTTCTCTCCGCAGCTATGGATTAATTAACAGGATTTGTATCCGTAAAACATTATTATCTCCAAAATGTCTAAAAATATCTTTCTTGCTTTAACCAACCGACAATAGTTCGATAAGCCGTAAAAAAACCTACTCTGCTTTCCGTAGCACAGTATAAAGTCAAATAGAGAGTATTTACTTTGGAAGACTGGCGTAACTGACTCTTCCTGTTATATAGGAATAAAGTGTCCTTATCAATACTGGAGTTTGAACACAGGTCACAAGAGATCAAACACAGGCGATCCCATGTTGAATAAATAGACCGCGTCATGGTAAAGGAAATGTATATATGGGCATTACCGTGGCATCTAAGTGATCACTATTTCTACACTATCCTCTATTTCTATACGTATCGCTATTCGCTATACTATACACTATACTATTTCTCTATACTGATCACTATACGGATTACTATTCGGATCACTATTCGATGGTTACTATTCGAGCGAGTATTATCGTGCAAGCACTATTAGTACGAGTGCTATTCGAAGGCGTCTGACACCAGTATTGTTCAACAGCGATACTATAGTTGTATCTACGATTAAAATGTCTCTACTACTACGAGCATAACGAAAGTGACAACGAGTATTCGTTGACATCACAAAAGTGGCAACGAGTGTTCGTTGACATCACAAAACTATGGAAATCAAATGAAAATCAAAGAGTAAGGAATTATCAATGTTCAGGAACTGATTCAAGTGTCACTGACAGAATAAGACTATTATATTCATGATTGTTACTATTTGCGTATATTATTTACCTTTCAGCCATGTTTGTTTTTCTTTGAGTAACGCCTCTCAATGCAGTCACCGACAAGAAAGAAATATAGTAAAAATGCCGGCAGGCATTTCTCCTTCCGAA